CTCTCAAATACCATCCCTTACCGTTCTCCTTATACTCTCTCCTTCTGGGACTCTATTAGGTACTCATTGATCTTTTCTGTATGTCCTTGATGTTAACTTCTTTCATAAATTCTCTCTGTACAGCAATGTGCGACTTCTTCATCTGGTCTGCTGATTCATTTTCTTTTGCTTCACCAATGTTTGCCTTTTCATGTCTCAATGCTTTATTGTGTGTGTGTTTTGTTTCTTTTCTAGTTCAAGTCTCACTCTGTTGCCCAGGCTGGAGTGCAGTGTCAATCCGCTGGGCTCAAGCGATCCTTCCATTTCAGCCTTCCCAGTAGCTGAAACTACAGGGGCACGCTACCACACCCAGCTATACTGTGTTTTCAAATCTGACTGATCGATTTCTTCCTTAGTTTATCACCTACTCCCATCATTTTTGGTCTCTTGTTCAATTTTCTTATATTCTTGTTTATTCCTTACACATGTCAATGATTCTAAGCCATCAGGTACTGAAAAACACCTTTTTTTTTTGAGTTGGAGTCTCATTCTCACCCAGGCTGGAGTGCAGTGGCACGCTCATAGTCACTGCAGCCTCAACCTGCTGGGCTTAGGCAATCCTTCTGTCTCAGCCTTCCAAGTAGCTGGAACTACAGGCACACGCTACCACACCTGGCTTGTTTTTTATGACTTACTGTAGAGACGAGGTTTCACCAAGTTACCCAGGCTGGTCTCAAACCCCCGGGCTCAGGCAATCCTCATGCCTCAACCTCCCAAAGTGCTAGAATTACAGAATGAGCCATTGCACCCAGCCAAAAGACACCATTTTTGTACCAATTTAAGTCTATAATGTCCCAGTTTTAGAGATGTTTAATCATTTTTTGTAATGTCTTTGAACACACTAACCTGATTCCAGTATCTGTAATCTTTGCAGGTCAGACTCTGGTGTTTCTCCTACTTTATTCACAATGACTAGGTTTTCATTTTCATAACTCTGAACATGAGTCCAAAATTACTGGAACATTACCTATGAAAAATCTTTGAATTTAAAGTGCTTTAAGAGCACATTAAACATTTGTTTTGTTGAGTGCCCCAAAACCACTTCAAAATTCGTCACTAACTTCTTAGTAATTTTTCTAACCACATGGGTTGTATGAGTTTGGTCCCAAACTCTTCTGTCAGCTTGTGCATACAAATTCTCAGGTGAACTTTTTTCTTGTCTCCATTCAGTTTTCTTACTCTCCTCTTCAAGGTGGCATATTCTGGAGCACTCTTTCAATAAACGTGTCCTATTTTGAGGCTGCAGGTTTTGGAAGAGTGTCTCACCTTGACTTCCTATTTATGTTGGCCACTGGGCTTTGTCTCACTTCTGAAGTTTAGCCCATTCCGAAGCCCTCAAGGACACAGGATCAGCCGAACCCTCGGGGCAGTTGTCCTCTTTTAATACTGCCATTTCTCTGGATTTAGGCTTTCTTATCAATTCCACACAAAGTTTTACTTTAAAAACTTTCAGGTCTACACAGAAGCTGAAACAACAGCACAAGACACGTATTCATCTACCTGAGCTTCATCAGCCATTATTCTGCCTCATTTGCATCGTCTCACACGTTCTATACACACAACACACATTTTTGCCTATTGGGAAGTAGCAAACAGAATGACTGCATCTCTAGTTACTCTGGCATACATCGCTAAAAAAGGGGTATTCTTCTGCTCGGGCACACCGTCACACCTAAGAAAACTCATTATTCTGTATCATTTAAGGAACCATATAACAATTTTCCAAGACATCTCTGAAATGTCTGTAATGACTGAGTTTAATTCAAAATCATATTCAAGCTCATGCACTGCATTTGACTATACTCAAGTACTGTATATATTGATTATATTGTACTGTTCTATCTAGAACAGTCTTCCCATTGCTTTTGCACGTTTACTGTTTTTAAGAATCGAAATTAGGGTCTTGTAAATATCATACATTTAGTTTCGTTATTCCACATTAGATTCAGGTAAAATGTTTTTGAAAAAAATGCTACACAGGTGGTGAATTGGGGCTTTGGAGTATCTTTCTTCTTTGCTAACTTCACAATGAATTTAAAGATTTAACAAAGTAGACCAGGGTCGGGCTTGGTGGCTCAGCCTGTAATCCCAGCATTTTGGGAGGCTGAGGTGAGTGGACTGCCTGAGCCCATGGGTTCGAGACCAGGGGTTCAATTTGGAGAGACCCTGACTCTACAACAGAAGAAGGGGAAAAAAAAAAAAAACTAGCAGGGCATGGTAGCTTGCACCTGTAGTCCAGGTTACTTGGAAGACTGAGGTGGAAGAACCGCCTGAGCCCAGCAGGTCAATGCTGGGGTGGCCGTGAGCATACCACTGCACTCCAGGCTGTGACAGAGTGAGACTTCAACTCAAAAAAACAAACAACAACAACAAAAAAAAACCAGACCTGGCATGGTGGCTCGTGCCTGTAATCCCAGCACTCTGGGAGGCGGAGGATCGTTGGAAGCCAGCCAGGAGTTTCAGACCAGCCTGGGCAACGTAGTGAGATCTTGTCTCTACTTTTCAAACCAAAAAGATAAAAAAGCAATTAAAGCGAAATCTCATTCAGCATTTCTGGTGTTTTGCACCAGAAGGGTTCCTCAAGGAGGGCAGTCTGTCACACGGTCAGAGGTCACTGTGATTGCCTTTCCGGGCCGCCAACAGTAACATCTTCACAAATAAAACGACAGTGACACATTCACCACCACCTGAGTCTAGGTAATATGAAAAGGGGAAGCTTGAGGCAAGACCTTCCATCAGGTGTGCCATCCTACTAATTCATTCTTGCAGCTATTATCCCCCCGCACCAAGCCAAAGCCGAATAGGGTGTTTGTTGGAGTTTAGAAGTCTAAGGATCAATTAATACGTCACGTTAATGCCTAAGAGCTGAGGACAGACGTGAAAGACTTGGGTTCCAGTAGGTAAGGCTTTTCTCATCTCATCAGTAAGAAGGTCGAAATTACCTTTAAATTTCTAACCTCTTTACATGGTGACAGAAGATAGCCAGAAAGAAGCTAAATGTGTTGAGAACTTACTGTGTCAGTCCTGTGCTATAAATGAGCTCAGTTCATCTCCATATTTAATCCCACGAGCCTTATACTATCCTCACGTCACAAATAATCAATGTGAAACAAGGGCTCAAACTGAAGTCCATACGATGGCAAAAACCTGTGTGTTTTTCCACTACACAAAATGCACCTGGAAGGGTAACAATCAGAAATTTTCATTCTGAAGTTTACTTGGCTACTCATAGCCTTAAGCTCTGCTTATTTTCTAAAGGAAAACCAAAGCCGATTTTTTTTTTTTTTTTTTTTGAGTTGGAGTCCCACTCTGTCACCCAGGCTGGAGTGCAGTGGTATGCTCACGGCCACCCCAGTATTGACACGCTTGGCTCTGGCGATCCTTCCACCTTAGCCTTCCAAGTAGCTGGAGCTACAGGCATATGCCAACACACTCGGCTAATTTTTTTGATTTATTGTAGAAATGAGGTCTCACCAAGTTGCCCAAGATGGTCTCGAACCTGTAGGCTTGGGCAATCCTCTCATCTCGGCCTCCCAAAGTGCTCGGAGATTACAGGTGTGAGCCACCGCATCCGGCCTTAAATTTCTTGAAAAAGCAGTCTACACACAGTCGTTTCCTTCCATGTCTCATTCACTAACCCACTGTACTCGTTACTGCTCAAACTGGAACAGCAATTGCCAAGGTTATCAACATTGCTAAATTCGATGGTCACTTTCTCTTTAACTACAACTCTTGCCAACATCTGACATTCCTAATACTCCCTCCACCCCTTCTTGAAACCCCTTTCTCGTTACTCTTAGCTTTCTTCCTTCCTATATGACCAATTTGCAGGTTTCTTTTGTGGAGTTTTCTTTTCCTAGTCCTTAAATATTGTTTTCTCTGCTGCAACTATTCTACTATTCTCATTCTATAAATGTCCTCGGCAATATCATACTTTTAGGTTGTATTATGCTGCTAGTGGCTCAACGTAGACATTTACTTAAATGCCTACCACGTGCTAATAAACGTTTTCAGTGACCAAAAAAAAAAAACATAAATGATACGGAACATGACTAACGAACCTTACTGGCCATATCTCTAGCGCAGGGGGTCTGTCATTAGCACCAGAACCACGAATACCTGCACCGTAATTTTCCAGGTACCTCAAACTCAGTACAACCCAAACTGAACCCACTGCCCTCTTCACTCATGACCTATTCCTTTCTCCTCCTCTGTCCTACTTTAATAAGAGCTAGCAACCCCAAGACTTCAATTATTGGTCAATTTTACTTTCTGAATCTAAAATCTGACCACTGTACTCCCACTCTATTATTAGATAGATAGTTTAGGACTCACCAGGATGACTTACAGCATACAACTGCATCTCCATCGCCAAGGTTCTCCACAATCCATTCTTCTCGGTTACAGTGATCTTTCAAAAAGGCAAATCTGATTATATCACCCCTACAATCGCCACCCTGTTTAAAATTCTTCAAGGACTCCTTGCTGGTCTCTAAGTCCAAACCCTTTTCTATAACTTGACGACACTCTCTGCTTAAAGAGGGCCCTGCTGAGTTCTTCAGTTTAGTATTTTGCCACTCTAATTTACATTGTTACAGCTGAATTGAACTTTTAAGTTCTTAGAATACATGCGTCTTCTCTCACCTATAGGTTTCCTCATAGTGCATTCTCTTCATTCTCTCTCTGTCTGATGTACTGTCCTATCTTTTATGAGTGGAAGAGATTGCTTTCCAGACACCAGTTTGAGACAGATTCTTTCCTATGCACTCTGACTATATTCTGGGTTAATCCCTATTGTAACACCCATTATTCTAACACAGAGACTAAACACTGTAAAGGCAGGACCTATATTTTATCTCATTCACTACCCTATCTCTGGTATCTAGCACATAGTATACTTTTTTAAATGAATTAAAATTATTATTAAGTCTCAACTCACAGAGGAGAAAAAAAAAAGAAAATTCATTTGAAAACTTTTTCAATTTTCTAATTTAATAGAAATAACCAAAACAATGTGGTTTTCAAACAAAGTTTAAAACTAATCTAATACAACTTCTACAACACATTCCAGAGCATTGTAACAAGAATTATTTACAGGCAGCTAATGTATTAAATAACCATGAAAAGAAAAAACTTGCTTTTATTACACACCAGCAAAAACACAGGAACGGAACAATCAGAAACTGCAACTTTGTTTTAAAAATTAAATATGATTATTTAGAGAATACGATACCACAGAAACAGCACTTTTTCTTAAGAATCATATTGAAGGGTAGTTAACTATGTGCAAAAATAATAGTAGTAGTAGTAATAATAATACGAGGGGAGAAGACCAATTGAAATACTGGAAGGAAAGAACTAATAAGGCTGTGAATTTAACCCTTTCGTGTGTAGGTACATCTACATAAAAAATTAACAGGCTTTCAAATTGCACAAATCTTGTATAGGCTTATGTACATGTTTCACTGCGTTTTAAAACATAGTAGATGCCTACATTTTTCAGACCAGGAACAGACATGCATTCCATCTTTAAGACTGAAATTTAGGCCACACTTGAAAGGGAATATTGCAGTGGCACTTATAGAACCATTTCGGTGCCTTCCCACATATAAATTTGGTGAATTTAAAAGAATAGCATTTTGAATTTTTAAAGATAACTTGCTAAAAAAAGGGCTAAACTTAATTTTGTACATTCTGTAGTTTGATATGACAAATATATCCAAATTAACTTATTTTTGAATATAATTGTTTCTCAGATACAATAAAAAAGATATAAAGGACCACATAGGCAAACACAAGGAAATAAGACGGAAGAAACGCTATACATGCATTCTGACCAAGTAAAAGAAACCATTATATTCACGAGTACATGTTGAAATCTGAAATGTCTATGTAAACTGTGGCATATAAATTTTTTTCCTTAAAAAAGTACCTTCAATTTTTTTTTTTTTACTCAAACACCTACTTTTAAAAAAATATGCAACTTTCCCCAATTTTTAAAATAAAATGCCACAATATATTGTCATTACCTCCAGCATACGTTTAAATTTCTTAATTTTTAAAAGATAGACTGGGTGATATGCATACAAACTTTCCTATAAAATCACCATCCAGGAGAGGATTCCGACATGCTATTAGGCAACAGACTTAAAGCAGTGTTATTGCTTTATCAAGGAGAAGATAACTGTGAGGAAAAAAGTTAAAGTAAACATCTAGGTCCAGTACGTGATCAAACTGTAATACACCTTGAAAATCTTGAATCACCTTCAGCAGATCATTAATATGGATGGTATAAATGAAGGATTTGATTGTTTTAATTAAGAGAGTTGGGTGTATGGATTTTTATACAACTACTCACTGATCCAATGCTGAGTACACAAATAAGCAGTGCTGACTCTGACAAGAAACAAAAATTTTTATTTCACATGTTGCATGTGAATGGGGGTGGGTACAGGGCATGAAGGCCAAGGGAGATGGGCCACAGCATCTACTCCCATTTTGGATAGGAAGAGACCATTTGATAACATATGGTAGGCCACCATCCAAGGGCATAGTTAGCTGGAAGACCTGAATCTACTGGCTCATTAACACTAATCACTTATAATTACATGGCAGGATACCTGCTGAGGTAATTGATAAATCTACAATTTGCACACTCTAAATCTTTTACTTCTACTTAAAAGCATTATTTCTTTGGATGAACTAAAAATTGTCAAAACTTGTTATAACAAAAAGTGAAATAAGTTAGAGTGATCTAAAATTCCCTTCTATGCAAAATACAGAAGTCAGAAAGTACCAACTTGTTGACTCCAAAATCAATGATTTCCACAGTGGATCCCATGCCCCATCAATTCTCTGCTGTAATGGTTGCACATTTCTACAGAGAGGGTGGCCTACAGTCTAACCGTGCTTTGGAACTTTCTCATGATGCACCTGTAAAGTATTTCCTTCAGTCAGTGACTCAGCTGACCAAGTGCTGAAAACATAAATTGAGGCGAGTGGAACAGATGGAGCAACACTTTGTTCTTAGTTTCCTGATGGGTGAAGTAAATTTAAGTATGACAAAAACTCTGAGAGCTTTTGAGAAGACATTATGTGGACTTTTTTCCAAATCTAAAATACCGCCTTTTAAACAAAGAATACAAATGTGAGAGAGTATGAAAACAAGCTGCTTTCAGGAATTAACAGATATTCAATGCTGTCTTTTACAAACATAAATTAATGGAAAAACATATGTGAGTCTCAATTTCAGTTTTTTCACTTTGAACTAACCATAGTTATATTAGAGCTGAACAAATCAGCTTAGACCTACTGCAATCAGTGTGAAAGCTAAAGTGAATTCATGTAATGGTGGTTTGTTGACAGCTATTAATGTAACAGTAATTCCTCAGCAGTCTGAATTACCATTTATTAACAGAAATGGAGCCTATTAAATGCTGACAATAAAGCGGCTTTAAAATGGATCAGTTTAGCCCACTTGAAATCAGAACATACAAAACCCAAAACTCCATCTAACAGAATGTTTGTTAAAGGGAACACACTGTCTTTTAAGGCCCCCAATATTGAGAAATATTTACTTAAAACCTGCTTCTTCCCCCAGTTGGCAGAACCCTTTTATGACTTATTATCTATGAAATTTCCTTTGAAAAGAATTCACATGAAGAGCAAATTCAAAATATTAGGACTCAAAGGCTTGACAAAACAAAGTATACTGCTGCTACTGCTCAAGTTCCGAAAATGTGTCCTTAGACAAGTGTGTCTACTGATAAACAGATTCATGGATGGTGTGCAAAGAGGGAAACAGTAATAGGTAAAAGCATTTTAAAATGATTTTCTCTCTCATTAAAAAACTTTTCTTGGGAACTTGACATTTGAGCAAAATGACTAAACAGTATAGAATATTTTTAAAAGCTTAACTTGTAAGCAAAGTTGAAGGAAAAGTGAAAGGAAAGCCAGGGAATAAAGTCAATGGCAATAATGAAATCAATACTGCTGAAATACACAGTCAGAAGGCCTGAATCATTATTCCTGTTTACCCTTACCCTCTTATTAAGAGAAGAAAAACAACCCAAAAGAATTTGCATAATCATTTCTTTAGAGCACTTTATTTGATTCAATAAGCACTAAAAAATATTTACCTCTTAGACAATTATGTCAAATAATTTTCTGAGTAGTCTACTGTCTGAACTGCTTAAACTGAATTTTTTTTAAAAAGGCAACTGATTTGCCACAAATCTGCTGACACCTGAAAAGTATCTAATGGCAAATTCTTCTATTTTGGTCTCTTTATATTCTAATGTGTCCATACAAAAGTAGGACTAAAATTTTTAATCCAACAAAAGAGAAGCCTGTACACAGTCTAGAACACACATCTTACATCTGAGCATCACAAATGAAGAGAAGAAAAAAGAACCAGAGCCAAGTTGGTTTATCTGCCTCAGGTGCTGTAATCGGGGTAGTAAAGGTGGGTTTACTCCAGTAACCATTCAAGTGGGGATTGGCTCATTTTCAGGATTTACTGACAGGTCTCTTCTAAGTCCTTTAAGCCCCAGTCCATGCAAATGTCCCACTTGGTGGACGGATGAGTAATCTAACCCCACCGGGTTTATTTCAATATTTTGATATTTCATAATAAGCTGCTTCTGAAGATTTTTTTGAGAAGTCTGTTCTCTATTAAAATAAGATAGAACTTCAAAATATGAATGTGAACATTAGAAATAGACAGCATATATTACAAATTCATTCTTGATAGGAACATTAGTAAGAATACACATTAGCTTAAAAAACAGGCTCAGCAAATGTTGCTGATCTGCCAGAAGTTTTAGTTCACTATTTACAAATAAGACAAAGTGAAATACAGAAAATTTTACACATTTGGTAGCTGACAGATAACTGTTTGCCAATAGTGGTCTATCAGAAAACTGACATGAAGGAAGACTGGATAACAGCCAGTTGTCACCTTCTCAATCAAATTTAAATGTACAGAAAACTAGATTAATTTTGAAACAAACATTCTGCCTTTCATGGGATTAACTGTATGGTCAGATGATTTGCCTGGAAGAGCAATTGTGTGGAAGTGTCACTTTTGGAAATGACTACTATAACTCTATATGATCCACTAATAAAAGATCACCATTTTTATTTCAGTAGATCTTTGAAGTTGACTACATGATGACCAACGGTCATGTTTCCTAGACCCTAAGTATGAGTAGAAAATGAAACTACTGTTGAGTTCTTTAAATCAATTTAAAAACTAATTCCCAACAGCATCAAAATGAGAAAAGACACAATGGTATGAATCAATGCACACTGCCTTGACACTAAAGTAGAATCTGAGCTACTTTGATTTTAACTAGAAACAATGCAGTATGCATGTGTGGGGGGCAGGGGAGGCTTAAAAGCTGTTTTAACAATTGTGCGACCTACTCCAAAATGACAATTTATCAAGTGACACGGGCCTCAAGTATACACTTGTACACCTAGTACCCTGCACCAATCCACACCACACAATCATCAACAGTTGCCATTTCTAACAATCAGAGAGCCATCCTCATTAGTAACAGAAATCCTCAAGTCATTTCACTTTTGCTTTTTGTTTTTACTGTAAAGTTTCAAATCGAGTTCTCTCCCCCTTTCTTGACAAGAATGTGTTTTCAGTCCATTATTTCAATCTAACACTGAGTAAAAGCTATCTGCTTCTTCAAGGAGGTGCCCACCCTAGGCAGGATATTCCAGCAACACTTAAATAAAAGTTTTCTGGTTTTTCTTTTCCTTTGAAACAAGTTATTTAAGTCCATGTCATTTTACTTTATATGTACTGGTCTCTCATCTGATTTTAGGCGTTTTCTGCGGGGCTGTATAAAGTCTTCATCAGAGTCCTCAGTTACCTCACCATCATCCTCTTCCTGCTCAAACTCTGGCAAAGGTGCGAAGGTCCTGTCTGAGTAGATCTCTGTGAGTTTATCTTCAAAGTACAATGCAACTGCTTTCCCTGCCTGAGCTACTTCTGAATCAGCCTGCAAGCAAAAGACAGGAATATTCACCTATTGGTAATGCACATTCCTTCACCAAGTTTGCATGGTCTGAAAAGCTTACCTTCAAATTAATCTCTTGTGTGTCTGCATAAACTTGAACAACTTTCATCATCTAAAAAGGATACCAGAGTCAAAAAAAAAAAGGGAAATTATAATCCTTTCTAAAGTTATGAGACTGCATAGGATTGGCGACGAAAAGTCAGCCATATTAGGGAGAACAAATCTTAAATCTTGCTAAAACCAGATTAAGTGCTTTCTAAAATTCTACAGAACATGGAACCATTTTCTTTACAAAGCTCTGTTACTAAAGCTACTGTGAAACCTCAGTCACTGTCTCATTTTGAATTATCGAGGTCAATCTGAATAGGAACTGATCTGAAAACATCAATTTATTCAGGAAAAAAAATCTGTGAAGCAAATGATATAAAGAAATGCTGCCTTACAAAACGGTCAAACTCTCCACAAACCACTTATCAGAATTCTATCTTTATAGCAAGATGTTAATAATAAATTACTTAACTATTGCTAAGGCAGGTAAAAATGGGGCTTAACAACTATAGTTCATGAAAAGATATTTATTTGAAAATAATCCAACCATATTAAAAATAAGACAAAATTTGGAACTGTACTTTCTAAATTTAACTTCAAATTAGTGAGATTTTACTAATTTACTCTGTGGCACATTGCTATAAAAGAGACTCAAAATTTTCATGCTTTTTTTTTTTTTTTTTTTTTTAATTTTAAAATGCCATCTGGATGCTTCCAGAGGCAGCTATGGGTGTAATTTAAAGAATTCAATATGATTTATTTAGCAATAGTCATATGGCACCAAATTGCATCAGCAATAAAGAAACTTTAGTATTATTTTTTTGGGCCCACTCTATTGCCCAGGCTGGAATGCAGTGGCAAGATTGCAGTTCACTACAGCCTTGAATTTCTGGGCTCAAGTGATTCTCCTTCCTCAGCCTCCCAAGTAGCTGGGACTATAGGTGTGTGCCACCATGCCCAGATGATTTAAAAAAAAATTTTTTTGTAGAGATAGAGTCTTGCTATGTGGCCCAGGCTGGTCTTGAACTCCTGGCCTCAAGTAGTCCGCCCATCTTGGCATCCCAAATTGCTGGGATTAAAGGTATGAGACACTGCACCCAGCCAGTATTAATCTTTTAAATATTTTGTGGATTCTCACTAAATTCCATTTTCTTCTCCTATAACGCTAACCTTCCATAACAATAAGACTTGACTTATAATAATAAGATAATAAAAATAATTTCCTTGAATGTGTTATATAACACTTTTCTTCTCAAGGTACAGACAGCTCAACCTTACCCTCAAAAACAAAAAACAAAGTTAACAAAAGTCACATTGCTGAAATCGGAAAACTCAGCTTTTACATGCTCTGGGATACCACTCAAGATGAGTCACCAGAGCTTAGTTTATGATTTTAAGGTTCTACAATTACATGATCAATAATAAAATGTAAGAGCATAAGAGTACAGATACCTTCCCAAAATGTAAGCTGTTTATAATCGTATCCCACAAAACATAATTACAGATAGTACCATACCTATCTCAACTCTTAACTCATTTAGTAAGGGATATTCATTAATTCTTAACTTATTATATTTCAATGTATACTCCAAATTATATATAGCAAACTTTCTACTTTGGAGCTGTGATTACAATCAGATTTTACTTTCGACAGGACTTTAGAATAAAAAATCTCAATCAAATTAAAACTCAGCAGGAAAAACAAAACAAGCAATCAATCAAAAACTAACAAACTAAGACTCTAGAGGTTGGAAGCTAACATACTTCATTAAACCTTTCACAGTTCTTGAAGATCAAACGGACATCAGCCACAAAGTCATCTGGGATTTGGTAGTGTTGGGAATGCTTTTTCTGAAGCTTCTTTTTCACGGTGGATAAATCCATTGGTTTCTTTATAATTTTATAGTAGTTTGGTATCTAAAATAAGCACATAAATAAGGGTAAATAAGAATTCTACAAAAGCGTCAAATTGTTTAATTCGAAAATTCATAGCATACTAATGTTAGGGGGAAAAAAGCTGATTATTGAGCCAGCTGCTTGCAAATTTGGGGTACAGTGAATGGACGCTAAATCTTCATGAAAACCAAATCTTAGGTAGAACATGTCAGTCTCTATTGTTAACCAAAAGTCCCCAAAGTCCTATCTTTAATTATTAGATATGAAAAGAAAGTAATCAGCAAGGGTAACCAACCAATAGCTTAAACGCCACAACTGGCTCACCAGGATTTTTTGACTTCTAAAGTTTTTTTTTTTAAAAAGGAAAAAGAAAAAAATTACAAAATGTATTAATGTTACTATTAGAATATGGTATCTTCTACAAGACATCACAGAGAACATCATATCCATCACACAGAAGTCTCAACATAGTAACAAGAAGAAAAATTGTTACAAAAAAATTGTATTAACTATTTAGTGATTATCCTAGGGAATTCAACTCAACATTGGCCAAAAATTTCTACCCTTGGAATATAAGTAAAGATAGAGAAGCTATTTAAATAGTCCATGAAAACAAAACAGCATTTTCTACTGTGAAATCTCTGAAAGATGAGACAGACTTTCTGGAATCTGTTGATTACTACTTGTACAGAACATCTTCCTTCTGTCGAGATCCCTCGTGTTTTAAAATTCATTTCTCAGCCTACCCAGTAAGCAAGTCAACTACCATTTGATATTCTGTAACAGGCTTGATATGCAATAATACAGTATTCAACAGCTGATGGCTAGCAAATAAAATGTGTGTAGAACAGTCTTACCCCACCTATTAGGTACTGAGCAGCTCTGGTCTTCCTTTAACTGTAGTATTTTAGCATCTTTCTTTCTTTCTTTCTTTTTTGAATTGGAGTCTCACTCTTGTTGCCCAGGCCGGAGTGCAAGCGGCACACTCACGGTCACCGCAGCCTCCACCTGCTGGAATTAGGCGATCCTTCTGCCTGCCTCAGCCTTCCAAGTAGCTAGAACTACAGACACATACCACCATGTTCGGCGTGTGTGTGTGTGTGTGTGATTTATTATAGAGACGAGGTCTCACCATGTTGCCCAGGCTGGTCTCAACGTTCGGCTAATGAGTGTGTGTGTGTGTGTGTGTGTGTGTGTGTGTGTGTGTGTGAGATTATAGAGATGAGGTCTAGTGTGTGTGTGTGTGTGTGTGTGTGTGTGTGTGTGTGTGTGTGTGTGTGTGTGTGTGAGAGATTTATTATAGAGATGAGGTCTAGTGTGTGTGTGTGAGATTTATTATAGAGATGAGGTCTCACCACGTTGCCCAGGCTGGTCTCAAACCTGTGGGCTCAGGCAATCCTCTCACCTCAGCCTCCCAAAGTGCTGGGATTACAAGCTGAGCCAACCCGCCCTGCCAAGTCTTTATTTCTTACAAAAGTCTACGACTACAGATAATGCTTAACACTTTACATAGGTTACCTTATATAATTCTCACACCAACTCAATGAGGTTTAAAAAAAAAATAGTGCCAGAAAACCTGAGTCTTAGAGAGGTTAAGGAGTTTAAATATAACACAAGCAATTTAAGGTCAGAGCCCATCCTTTTAAGTACCATATAAACTTCCTCACCAGGGAGGTAACTAAGGCAGGCAACTCACCGAAGCAGGAACAGGCTCCTGGAATTCAATACTTAGTTCATGGCAATAGAGGTAAAGCAGAAGACGTTCACATTTCTGGCCCAAACAAGGAAAAAAAGCACATGAAATATTTCTCTCCTAATGATTCTTGAGGATAAGAACTATATCACTACAAGTGTGATTACAACAAATTGAAAATAAGCCTCCTGCTAATTAGATATCCAACTAAATACATACAAAGAAAACTGTCTTGCTCCCCATTTTGTTTTGTGATTACCTCCTGTTCTACTTTAAATAAATAAGAATGTCTTTATTCTAATAAGATAACTAAGGTAACTGTAATTTATTTATTAATTCTTGGTTACTTAAGTAAATGAAAAGGAGCCGCAAAGGCATTGCACAAAAATTTATAGCTTCCTGGTAATGAACAAACACACAAACAATCACTGTTGCCCCTGCCCTTGTAATCCCAAGCCAGGCAAGACAAATGCTATTATTCCCTTTCTTCAAATGACTCCACTCAGGTTCAAGATAAGTAAAAACTGTTTCTCTTCTTAATCTAGCTCCAGAACAAGTTTTTCCCCAACATAAGGAATAAATTATAGTGCATTTTACATTCATGATTTTCTATTTACTTAAACTTGCTTTAAGATTAAAGTTTGTATACCCTGAACATGTACTTTCTATTCATAGACAGATGAGGGTTTCTGCAAGTACATACATCAGATTACAACCAAACTTAACTCCACAGACCACAAAATTATGTGAGAGATAAGCTGTCTTTGGAGATTGGACAGCAAAGTAACAGAAATCTGAGTAAAGTCAGGAGAGGATTTTGAATTTCATTTTTAATATGATGGGAAGCTATCAGAGGATTTTAAGCAAGGAAATGATAGATTTGTTTAATTTTTTAAAAAAGAATACTCTGTTCAGTACAGAGGGTTAAGAGTAGAAGGAGACCAGTTAAAAAATTATTACAATAGTCCCAGAGGAGAAATTATGACAACTATCTAAGTTGGTAATGGTGGGGAAAAGTAAGAAAATGGTATGATGGGCATTCTTGGTTCTTTTCATTTCTAATAGGTTTCTAGCCTGAGTAGCAGAGATGAATGGTGGTGCCACTCAATGATTAAGAAACAGGGAGAGGAGTACAGATTTTTTTATGTTACTTGCTTTTGTTTTATGAGGGAGGATTAGAAATCAAGATTTCAGTTGGAACATGTTAAAAGTTAGAGAAAATTGGCTAGAAGAGTCTGGAGCTCAGGGTTAGAGATAAAGATTTCAGAAATCATTAATATATCATCAGATGACAAGATTAAAAAATAAAAATATATCAAGTCACGGGTATATTACACAGAAAAAAATGAGACATATAGCGATAACTACAGAATCCCAATAACAAAACACTTACCCTTTGGTCCACGGGGCTTAACCCCTGTACGGTTTTCCCCTTCTTACTATGTTGCAAATTATCACAGTCATATTCAACTTCTGGCTTCCCAATATCTCTACAAAATGTGCATATCCAGTCCCCACTGAACAGGGAAATAAGCAATTAGTCCATGTAATTATAACAAAGCCTATTCTTGAGAAGCTAGTTCCTTAGACAAGTCTCTAGAGTTTTGTTTGTTTTAAAAAACTTTCTAATTTTTTGGAAAAGGGGACAGTCTATACTTATCAAATCTCATAAAGTAAGGTAGTGTAATTAAACACTCCCCCAAACTTTTCCCAGTCATTCAACTGATTACTTTCTGGAAAGTGAAAATGGCACCTCTGAATTCAAAGGGGGTCTCTTCATAGCACACAGCTGATGGATCGATACAGGATAAAGTCTAAAACCAATTATCTCAGGCCCCAGGACTACCATTACATGGACCCTATATTCATGAGCAGGAACACAAGTTATGAAGTTTCTCAGGTATCTTGAACTGTTTGGCATGTGTTAACCATGGCCAAAATAATCAGTTCTATTTTTCATGGCTAATCAAAAGCTAGAGTACACACACATAAACCTGCAAGTATAAGCACATGTACATATACTACTTATGAGTAAAGTCTACACTTTGCTTTTATCAGAATTTCTAGCAAACTATAAATTATAAAATTATTTATACATATTCACTCTATCTATATAAACAGATACACAGATATATCGATATAAACAGACAGGCAGCTAAGCTCTACATCTAGGGATTGTACTAACTAATTTCTGTCAACATTTTACAATTCCTTCCAAAATATCTGCCTTTGAAAGAAAGCATTCGGTGGCAAAATTCTGATGTTCCAGTAGATGTTACTACCCAAAGGAAAGAAAAATATGAAAAGTCTCAATTTCAAGAAAAAAAGTGCTAATGCTTTTTTTTTTTTTCTCCCCTAAAAGGTCCTTATTATATCTCTGGCAAAAAGACTATAGCTCCTAAGAGTTAGGTAAAAATTACAATTCTTCAGAAAAACATTCTGACATTGTTTATATGTTTTACTAATTTTCTAATCTAAAAAGCTAAATCTTTCAAAGAGGATAGCATTATCTACTTAAAATCATTGCTTCTCAGAGATTTGAGAGACAATATGAATTTTTAAATCTACAACAAGAAAAAAAACTGCCCCTACAATATTGGTTTACTCAAAAAGAAATTGGGGGTTAAGGAAGAAAGGAGAGGATTGAAGGAAACAAGTATGGCTCTACTATTTTTTTTTTTTTTTTTTGAGTTGGAGTCTCACTCTGTCACCCAGGCTAGAGTGCAGTGGCATGCTCACAGCCACTGCAGCCTCGATCTGCTGGGCTCAGGTGATCCTTCCGCCTCAGCCCTCCAAGTAGCTGGAACCACAGGCATGCGTCACCATGCTTGGCTAATTTTTTGATTTACTGTAGAGATGAGGTCTCGCCAAGTAGTCCAGGTTGGTCTCGAACCTGTGAGCTCAGGCAATCCTCTCACCTTGGCTTCCTAAAGTGCTGGGATTATAGGCGTGAGCCACCACACCCAGCCTGACCCTACTATTCTATGGTTTCTGAAATTGATCAGAGACATATTGCATGAACACAAAATATAAAACATTAACTGGAGGTCTTCTATCACTTACAGAGTGATCAGCAAAAACTGATCCCTGATAATTAGTGAACTGCCTAAGTTACTAAAGAAATCCAACTACACTACAGGATTTATAACCTAGCCCAACACATTTATTCTATTTTATTAGCTGGTATCATCAGTTTGCTTTGGTGCTCATCAATAAATGTTTTTTTTCTTTCCTTCTCCAGTTTATTTTATGTTTTTTGTAGAGATGAGGCCTCACTATGGTGCTCAGGGTGGTCTCGAATTCTTGGGCTCAAGCAATCCTCCCTCCTTGACCTAACAAAGTGCTGGGATTACAGGCGTGAGCCACTGCACCCAGCCCAATGAATGCTTTAATGCTTGAAACCATATTTAGCAATCATGGTGTCTAATAGTCCGAGGACAAAGGACAAAACTCATATTCTCCTCCCATCTCTTTATCTTTACAAGTGTTTCTCATTTACAGAAGGACTAACTTTCTGTTCCAAAGTTAATGGCTAAAAGACATTCCTACTAGCGGATCAAAGGAAAAGCCTAAGAAATCTGTGCCCAGTGCTTCAGGCAGGCACTACAGATGAACTGCTTCCCATAGTCAAGTGGAAGCCATTCCCCCCCACCAAAATTCCCAGACATTAACAGTATTTTTCACAAAGGACTTTTTTTTTTTGAGTTGTAGCTTTACTCCATTGCCCACACTCACTGTGGCATGCTCAAAGTCACCCCAGCGTTGATCTGCTGGGCTCAGGTGAACCTTGCGTCTCAGCCTTCCAAGTAGCTGAAACTACAGGTGCACGCTACCATGCCTGACTAATTTCTTTTTAAAAATTTATTCTAGAGATAAGGTATCACCAAGCTGCCCAGGCTGTTTTTGAACCCGTGGGCTCAGGAAATACCCTCACCTGTGCCTCCCAAAGCGCTGGGATTATAGGCTTGAGTCAACTGCACCTGGCCAGAACTTTTTTTTTTTTAAATGCCTTTTGAAAGCTTAAAAAAGTTGAGTTTTGGGTATAATTCAATAGTGTCTCCTCAAACTGAATGACATTCATAAATATAATCATTATTGTAGATAGACCCTATTCAGAGGGTGGCAACAGATAAAAAATTTACCTTCAAGAAGAAATAGATTTTCTCCAACATACCAAACTCCTTGGCCCTCTTTAGAATTTTATCTAATTTGCTTACACTGAATATAACTGAAGGCCAAGAGATAAAATCTACTCTTTTTTTTTTGAGTTGGAGTCTCACTCAGTCGCCCAGACTGGAGTGCAGTGGCC